AGAATCACCAGGAAAACATCACTGGAAGAAGAATTTGGAAGATCCTACTTCTTAATTTCGGTCCCGGCATCAGACTTATAACTGTTGACTCTTTTAAAGAATATCTTTCAAGGCCTCTTCCGCCGATCCCAAATCGAATCGAAAATTTTTATTTATTTATTTATTTTTTTTTTTGATTTTTTCAAGGACATTCAGAGAAATTATAGCGACCCACAATCGTGGATTTTTTTTTTAAATTCAGCAAACTGGTAAATATGACCCCATCATATGATGTTGATGACGGGTAGATAAAACCGGATATAACCGCATTTTTTTATCCCAACTTCGGTTAAAAAAGAACTGGGTAACCGGGACTTTTCTCTACGACAAAATAGTTGCCGATAACAGGTTTAACGAAATTTCAGGCCGATCCAGACATAGCCCTAATCTCAATTAACAGCCGACATGGAGGTCTTCTCAGATAAAATCAGATCGGGGAAGATCTTAATTTGGCATAGGGTCACTTTTCATGTGCAGCCTGGACATATAAAGGTGCTTTTGAAAAGTGTACAATATTTGTACGAATAGTACAGAAATGTACTTTATTTCGTATTGGGTGAAGGAATAGAGCGGGAAATTTGGTACTGAGTCCTCTGGAATTGAGACATGCATTAGTGCTTAGAAATGGTGTTGGACCTTGGTGCTCAGGCGTGTGATAAGGCTGGAGTTTTGAAAATTCGCACTAAACGGGCACGAAAAGTATTGGACATACGGAATGAGGCAGAATGTCCCAAAAGGCTTTTAGAAAATCGTAATTTTAGGTGAAATTTTTTTTTCAATTTTTTTTTTAATTTTATTGAATGAAAGCAAAAAATGTCGGAAATAGCATCAAATTTTAGAATAAGTTTAGATTTGTTTGAATTGGTCACCATTGGCCCGAATTATGGCCTTCAAACGGCCAATGAAACACACGTCACACGCTGCCCGAATGTTGCTCTGCGGTATTTTGGCCCATTTCGCGGCGAAGCGCTTGCTTGAGGTGATCGACACTTTGGTATTTTTTAGTGCCAACCTTGCCTTCCAAACCAACTTCAGACACAATAGTCCAACGGATTGGTATCCGGAGATTTAGATGGCCATTATGCGTTGAAAAAGGAAGCGAGGAACCTCTTTTTGTAACCATTCTGGGGTGGCGCGTGCTGAGTGCGATGTTGCTTGGAATGTTCAAGGTCTGCGGCCAAAATGTTTTCGTGCCCAAGGCTTTATATTTACCTCCAGAATATTTTCGCGATATTATTCGGCATTTATTCTGATTTCATGGTCGATTAATACGAGCGGAGAGCGACCATCGGCTGTTATGACGGCCCACTCCATCACCATGGCCTGTGACCATGGCTTGAGTTCTGGTGGCCAACCGAAGGTGCTTATTTTCAACTGACCTCTTTGGCAAGTAAACACGATCATTTCGTTGTTGTTTACAAACTGCTGGACAACGAAAGTTTTCTCATCGGAAATAAACAAATTCGACAGTTCACCACTTTTGGCCAAGCGAAGCAACTCTTCAGATCTTTTGAATCTATTTTCTATCCGTTGCGGTGTAAGTTCTTGCACTTTTTGGAATTTCAATGGCTTTACCCCGAGCCCACTTGTTCAATATATGCCGAATGGAATATTGCGATATTTTCAGCTCACGAGCCATTTTTCGGCCACTACGATGCGGGTTTTGATCAAGTCGCTTCTTTACTTTTCGAACCAATTCTGCTGATCTGTTGCTGTTTTCTTCCGTCCACTTCCTTGACGTCGGCATACGCTACCAGTATCACTACGGTAACGATCGATGGTACGAGACACAAAAGGTTTATTCACATTTAAATGCTGGAGTGCTCTAACGATAGCCACTTGTGGTTTTCCAGCCAAATATAAAGATACCACCCTATCACGCTTGAATTAAATTACGAATAACTTTTTTTCTGGAAAATTCTCACCAAAATGCTTTTGTCCATTTGTAAACAATATAATGACCTGTCACTGGAATAATTTTAACAGCTGTCGGACGACTGGCTTAGAAATGACAGCAGTCTGAAGTTGGTTGCAGTTTTTTCATCTCACTCTGAATATAAATAATTTTTTTATAATAAAAGTTCCAACTTTTAATACCCTCCACCATTTGCAAAGAACTTGAAAATTTTCAAAAAAAAAAAAAAAAATCCAAGAACTACCACTTAATTGAAAGCCCTTATATGGGAACTATACGAGGACATGGACCTGCTTACGATTTTTTTTTGTAATATGCTGTAGTACCCATTACGAACTTCAAATACGAAATATGAAACATTTCCAGTGAATAATGTCGCAAAAATCATTAATAAATATCGAATATCGGGAGGTACCGTCCTATGGGGGATATACGAAAACTTGACCCTGCATACGAAATTTTTTGCCATAGGCTGTAACACCCATTACGAACTTTAAATACGAAATTTGTTACAATTCCAGTGAATAATGTTGAAAAATCATGAAAATAATGAATATCGGAAGGCACCGTTTTATGGGTGCTATACGAAGACTTGGACCTGCATATAACGATTTTTAGGTTGTAGTACCCATTAAGATCTTCCAATACGAAATTTGAAACGATTCCGGTAAATAATGTCGTTAAAATCATGAAAATACCAAATATCGGGAGATACCGTTATATGGGGGCTATACGAAAACGTAAACCGACATGGCCCATTTACGAACTTAACCTGCCTACTGGTACCTACTATGCATGTATGCAAAATTTTAGCCTTCTATCTCAATTCGTTCGAAAGATAGTGTGATTAAAACAGAGAGACAGACTGACGGACATCCCTAGATCGTCTTCGAATTTTATGCTTATCCAGAATATACATACTTTGAAGGGTCTATTCTGAATATTTCGAGGAGTTACAAACGGAATGACAAAGGTAATATACCCTCCATAGGTATACTAGCTGGAGGGTACAAAAATTTTTCGACAAAAATCTACCATTCATTCCCTATTTTTGTTAGTCGGAAATTGCAATTCCAAGTTATACAGTCGAAGAGCTTTAAAATTTGGTACAGTTGGCAATTCGAATTCTGTCTGTGATGACTGGGGCGGGCTATATCGATGCATGGTTTACCCAGACTGTCGTATCAAAAAAAAAATAAAAAAATAGAAATAATCAAATAAATCTGACATTTAACACCTCCAGTTCTGTCAGTAATTTAAAGTTCCTGTAAGGGAAGATACCAACAAATATGGGTTGTAATTCGACGATTCAAGTTCGTAGAAGTCTCGCAAAAGGAAATGTCGAATATGACTGCACTATTTAATATGGAACCCTTATAGCCCGGATTTTCGCAATTTTAAGGTTAAAATTTCCAAATTTCTAATTTTCAATACCATACTCATTGGGTCATTAAAAAGCTCAACTTGAAAGAGAATATGGCTAAATATCCATCTATAAATGACCTTCGCCTAAGGCATATGAAAGCAAATTGACTGTATTTTGATATTTTTGGTTTCTACGACCTCTTAATGAAAAGTTTTCAAAATCAGTCCATGTTGGACTTTTTTTTATTTTTTGGATCCTGCCGAAGAGGCTGATATTCAATATTCGAAAATTTACATCCTCACAAAAAATATAGGACCACACTCGAAAAGTTTTCAAAATCGGTCCATGTTGGGCGTTTTTTTTTTAATTTTTGGGTTCTTGCCGAAGCGGCTGTAATTTAATATACGAAAATTTACATCCTCACAAAAAAATATGTTTAATATTGGACCAAGTTTTGATCATTTTTCAGCATTGTTGGATATAGTTCGGAATTTTGGTCAGATCTTTTTTAGAAGATTTTGAATTTCGACCATGTATCATTACCAATTTTTTGTAAGGATTAAGAAGCCAATTTCCAATTTCCTTTGATTTAAAGTTTCCTAATGGAAGCCATCAACATTTCGATTCAGGCGGACTTGTGTTTTTGCGGTTGGTTTCAAATATTTCCCCCAGCAAATTGGCTGAAAAAGGGAGTTTTGAATTATATTCTCAGGAAAAAGTTTGTGATGCTCTTTTTTGATATTTTTTAATTGTTATTATTATTATATATATTTTTTTAGTTGAAATTTCTCCTCGAAAATTCGGAATAATTATTTAATAATTTTACTTAATTTTTCCCATCCTTTTAAGGCGTAACACTGTGCTTCCGCCGGCTATCTCCGTGATGCTGATTTGATAAGAAATGATGAGATTATGATTTTGGGTGTAAAAAAACACACACGCATACGCACACACTTCCACCCACCACCCACTGGCAAAGCATCAAGACAACAACACCACAATTTTTGCATGTTTCAACAAACACAGATGCTAATAAAAGAGTGGCAGAGAGTGAGAGAGTAAATCTCAGTTACTGTGATTGGCTAGAATACGAAAGATGACACGTAAAATTTTACCGCTATGCATTGCCGCCAAGCACGCACACAACAACACACACACGCATACGCAACAACAACACTGCCAAAAGACCAAGTCAAGCCGAACTTTTCCGAATGGCAAATTTTGTTAAGTTCAATATGTGAATGTGTGTGTGTGTGTTGGCTTACTCTTTTTTTTTGGTAACAGCTGACTGTCTAACTGACTGAGATGAATTGATCTCTGCTGATGATGATAAAAAGAGTCTTAGTGCCAGCCAACAACAACAGTACGTTGGTTATAAAAATCGAAGAGATAACAAATCAAAAGCTTCATTTCCCTCTCTCTCTCTCGCTCTTTGTTGCTCTTGTTTTCTGCCTACGTTGCCGTTTGTAATCGTGTGATCAACGTAACCGTTCGTCGTTGCTTGGGCTATTGCTCTCTCGCTCTGGGCTCTGTTCAAACAGGATCTGTATGGTATAAACGTTGCGTCAAGTTTTAAGCCAACATCAGTCAGATGTGGCCCTAACTTCAGACCACCCAAAAAACAAAACTCAGGCGGCGACCGACTAGCATTAGAGAGACACAAAGCTTACGAATTCCAAAGGCATTTGGGTGTTTAATTCTCAAAACGAAAAAAATATTGAAAAAAATTAAACAGCCTTCAAAAGTCGTCAGTGAATAAAAACCACAAAAAAAAATAGTAAACAACAAAAAGTAAACAAATCGAAAAACCTTGCATTAGTTTAGTCGTGCCAGCTAGCTACCTGTGGAGAGTTACAGTTCGCAGCGACAAAACGAATTCCAAACAGCGACTTGAAAACAAAAAAAAAACGTTGGCGCTGCGTTTCAAACCCCCGTTGGCGTCGGCAGAGCTTCGCTGTTGGCTTTTTTCCTCCCAATTTTTGTTTTATTAAACTCAACTTGCGAAGTTAATTTCAGCAACTGAATTCAATACCGTTTTGTTACGTTTTCGAGTTGGTCGTGTTTTTTTCCTCAACTCTAGAAACTCAGGCGCTTTGAAAGAAAAGAAAAAAAAACACAAAAAAAATATATATTTCTGTTCCGCGTTTCATCAAATCAAAATATAAAACCAATTAATTAAGTGAAAAATACACAAGTGTAAACAACAATAAATTGATTTAAAATTTCTAAGAAAAAAACCCAGAAGTTGTGAAAAAAAAAATTAAAAAAAAATCTAATCTTTTTCTTAAATACAATATTGAAAATTGTTATTATTCTTAACGGAAATGTAAATCATTCGCCCCCAATTTCGTTTAAAAAATCAAAAAAAAAATTGAAAAATAAAAATATTATTTTATTGCATAAACCAGTTGAATAAAAAATCAAGAGAAAAAACAAATTGAAAAATTACGGATTAATTTCCCCCCTCTTTTGTTCTCAAAAAAACTCCACCTCCATTTGAGAGTACAAAAATTGTTGTGATCTTTAACAAAAAAGAAAATAGTCATAAATATTTTAATAATTTAATAACTAAGTCAAAATAACAAAATAAAACAAAAAAACAAGCTAACCAACTCTCTAACAAAACCAAGGATTCATCAGAAATCAGGAAAAAAATTTACTATTTAAAAAGAAAAATAAATAACTGTTGTTGATTAATTAATAAGGTGAGTAAAAAATAGAAAGATAAAATATAAAAAATAAGGAAAATATAAAAAAATAATAAAAATAAAAAAAGAAAAACATTTTTTAATTAAAAAAAATATTTTTAAATGGAATCCCAAAAAAATTAGGAAAATATTACAAAAAAAAAAAATAAAATAATATAAAAAAGCCAAAAAAAAATTTTTTTAATATATTTAAAAACAATTAAAGAAAATATTTTTAAATAAAATTCCAAAAAAAAAATAATTTTTTTCCAGATATAATAACAAAAATATTAAAAAAAATCAAGAATACATTTTAATACATATTCAGATAATATTATTGAGAACTATTCAAAACTTAAAAAAGAATTAAAGAAAATACTTTTAAATAAAATTCCAAAAAAAATCATAATTTTTTTTTCGAGATATAATAATAAAAATATTTAAAAAATTTTTAAAAAAAATCAAGAATACATTTGAATATATATTCTGAATATATTATTGAAATCTATTCAAAATCAATTTGAAAAAAAAAATCAAAAATTCTTAAAAAAAAGTATTTTTGAAAAAAAAGGTATAAAATATTTCAAACAAGAAAGGAAAAGAAATTAAACATATATATTAGGAAAGAAATTAAAAAAATACGTTCGGAAAGAATTCCAATATATACAATTTTTTTAGTGCCTTTAAAAATATATATTCAAGAGAAACTGATTGTCTAGATCTGGAGTATTTTTCCAATTTTTTTTAAACATAATTTTTTTTTAGAAAATATTAAAAAAAAAAATTCTTTCTTAAGTCTGTAGTATTGCCCCCAAAGGCTTAAGAAATAAAAAAAATATTACTTTCTTTACTATTATTTTTATTAATATATTTGTTAATCTGTTTGAAATATATTTTATATATATTTTTTTTAAATTATATATTCAGAATTTATTGTTGAAAAATAATCAAAAAAAAAATTAAAAAAAGCAAAAATTCTTGAAAAAATCCAAAATTCCTAAAAAAGTCAAAAGTATTTGAGGGTGAAATAGCAAAAAAAACTGCTGCAAATATTTTTATATTTTTATTATTTTTTTTAATTTCATTAAATGAAAGCAAAAAATTTAGGAAATTGCATTAATTTTTGGAATAAGTTTAGATTTGTTCGAATTGGTCACTTTTGACACGAATTATGGCCTTCAAACGGTCAATGAAACCGTCACAAGCTGCCCGAATGTTGCTCTGCTGTATTTTGGCCCAATCCCGGCGAAGTGCTTCCTTGAGGTGATCGACACTTTGGTATTTTTTAATGCCAACCTTGCTTTCCAAAATACTCTAGACACTAGACACACAAATATTTTAAATATTATAAATATTATCATTTTAATATTCATCCTAAGAGAAATTTCAGTAGTCCGTATTACAAAACCGGTTGTAAAATGGAAAAAAGAAAATATTTTCATTTTCAAATCAATAATTTGTATTTCGATAAAAAAAAAACTAGCAACCCGTTTGTCTTCAAACTATTATGCAAATAATTTTTTACAATTTATTTATTTATTTACCTTGTTGCGGGATAGGATTAAATAATCGCTTTCGAATCGCATTTTTTCCAGTTTAAGCTAATTGAATATTATCGGTTGTGATTTTCTTAAACAAATCTAACGGAAGTTTAAAATTAAATTCTACTCCCCCTCTCCTCCCCTCCCCCATTTCTTACTTCCCATAAATCCCAGCATTTAATCACTTACTAGCCATTAATAAAATTACAAAAAGTGAAAAAAAAAAAAATTGTTTCAATTGTGAGAATTTCGCAAAGGAACTCACAACCGGTCCACCCACCATTTATGGGGTGGGAAAAATGATTAGAACAATAATTTCAATATTCCCATGGAAATGATGGAAAAAAATAGAAAATTAAAATAAAAAAATAGATTTTAGATTTGTTTTGTAGTTCATCGTCATTACCCCTTCGATTCCCTTGGACGTTGATTGGCTCCACATTTTGTGTGAGTTTTTTTTTGTTTAATATTTTTTTTTATTGTAGTGTTTGTTGCATTATTAGTTTAATAATCATAAATACTGTTATATTATTTGTTAAGCAATTGTTGTAATATTTTTTTATTTATTTTTTATTCTCATATCTCCTCACCAAATAGACGTCAGTGTAGTAATCGTTTCCTTTTGTTGTTAACATGCAAACTAGAAATTATAATATTTTTTTTGTTATTGCAAATTTTATGGAAACAAAAAGAGGCTTTGGTGAATTTTGGCGGATTTTTTTTTTAAATGTTATATTTAAAATATGGATTCAATGGCCCAGTGATATAAGTGATGGATTTCAAAGGATAAAGAGTGTATCGACAGATTTCCCGTTTGTCACCCACTCGGCGTATACTCAATATCCAATATAGTGTATACGCCGCCTATGTGGCAGATCTATAAAAAATGGAGTTTTGTGGTTGCAGTGTCATGTCATGGTAAAGTCGAATCTTACGCTGAACAAAAAAAATATATTCCCTATAGTAACTTAAACGACGTCCGACCACAGTGAAACCTAGATACCATATTAACAACAAAAACTACAGTGAATGTGAGGGATTCCTGGGAATCCGTTTATTTCAGGTGTATATTGTTTTCGGAATCCGTTGATTTTGGGTATATAGTGTCATCGGCAATATTACAGATAACAATATAAGGATTTTTATGGTCAAAAATGTTAACCCTCAACGGAGTCACAAAAATTGTCTTTTGGGCTATTTTTCAAAATATGCTAAAAATCTCCCATTATACGGCCACGTAGCAAGTCAAAATATTCTACAAACTTATTTATCATCGAATTCTACTATGGGTCCCAGAGGACATCAAAAGTCTAAGTCTTACCTAAACATCGGGTATTCGGAAACATTTACATTTTTAGGAGTTAAAGTCGTGTGGTATGAGAGTTTAGGCAATAAACCTCCGACAAAGCATCATTTTGGAAGCATAACCTCAAAGACAAATAAATTCTTCATCAAATTTCACTATAGGACACCAAAGAATAAAAATCTCTATTTCCATAACATATCAAAAAATGCTAGCGTCAACTTAAAAAAATTTTTCCTCTGAGTTTTTTCGAACTGATGCCTGAAAATAACATACAATTTCATGTTAGGCAGGAGGTGTTAAAAGACGAAATATTCTGCACAAAATTTCACTATAAATCTCAGAATAAACAATATGTCTAGTTCAAATAGCTTTTATGAAAAATTCATTCGAAATTTATGTACTACAAGTGAAAATGATGCGTTTGCATATTTTACTACTAATTTAATAAGTTTTCATTTTATGGCAAAATTCATCCACAAAACACTATTTTAGAAGGATCACGCCAAAGACAAAAATATTCCTCATCGAATTTCACTATAAGTCGGCAAAGAATAAAAATCTATATATCGAATGTGTATCAAAAAAAATATATATATATTGGCATCAATGTTCCCAAAAAACCGAAAATTGCCGCTAATTTTTTGATGATTTTTTCAACTGATTTTTTTCGAGTTGATACCTGAAAATAATATAAAACTTTATTTTAGGACGAAGGTTTTAAAGGAAGAAATATTCTACACAAAATTTCACTATAGATCTCAGAACAAAACATACGTCTAGCTATAACGGTTTTTAGGAAAATTACGTTCGAAATTTATGAATTATAAGTGAAAATTATGTGTGTTGCTTTTTACACTGTAAATTTAGCACGTTTTCATTTTATGGCGAAATTCTCCAACTAATTATTATTTTAGAAGAATTATGTCAAAGACAAAAGTATTCCTCATCGGATTTCACTATAAGTCACCACAGAACAAAAATCTATATTTTCATTGTATATCAAAAAAATATTGGTATCAATGTTCCAAAAAAATAAATAAATAAATAAACGAAAATAATCGCTAATTCTTCTTTGTCGCCTTTTTGAGTTGACAGCTGAAAGTAACATAAAATTTCATTTTAGGCAGAAGGTGTTAAATAAATCTCAGAATAAACCATACGTCTAGGTACAATAGTTATTAGGAAAAATTACATTCAACATTTATATATTAAAAGTGAAAATTATATATTTGCTTTTTATGTGAGATGAAAAAACTGCAACCAATTTCAGACTTCTGTCATTTCTAAGCCACTCGTCCGACAGCTGTTAAAGTTATTCCAGTAATAGCTCATTATATTGTTTACAAGCGTACAAAAGCATTTTGATGGGAATTTTCCAGAAAAAACTGTTATTCGTGATGGAATTCAAGCGTGATAGTGTGATTTCTTTATATTTTTGGCTGGAAAACCACGAGTGGCTATCGTCAGCTGAAAATGTGCACTTTCGGTTGGCCACCAGAACTCAAGAGCCGGCCATTGTAATGGTGTGGGCCGCCATAACAGCCGACCATCGCTCTCCGCTCGTATTAATCGACCGTGGCATCAGAATAAATGCCGAATATTATCGCGAAAATATAAAGCTTTGGGCACGCAAACATTTTCGCCACAGACCTTGGACATTCCAACAGGACTCAGCACGCGCCACCCAAGAATGGTTACAAAATGAGGTCCCTCTCTTCATTTCCAGCGCACAATGGTCACCAAAATCTCCGGATATCAATCAGTTGGGCTATTATGTCTGGAGTAGGTTTGGAAAGCAAGGTTGGTACTAAAAATTACCAAAGTATCGATCACCTCAAGAAAGCGTTTTGCCGGAAATGGGCCAAAATACCGCAGAGCAACATTCGGGCAGCGTGTGACACAATTCGTGTAAAGTCTACAACAAAAAGTCCCTTTAAAGGGACCTATAGACTTCGAGGCTACTAGAAAATTATTAAAAAAATGTCTTTTATTAATTTCAAAACGCCATCTATACTTAAATATTATGTTAATACCTGTTTTTAATACAGAGTGCGTGCCATTGGGCGCCATTTGATAACAAGCCGAATGATATTTTTAAAGGTTTTTATATCTTCCAAAACAAATTGCTTGATTTTTTCCATGTTATTAGCTATTTTTAATACAAAGTGCGT